ATGGCGGATCAGCTCGCTGCATCCGTTCACAAAAGCACTGCCCCTACACCCATATCAATCCCGGCCCTTGATCTTAAGTCGTTCTCAAACGAAACCTCAGGGACTACTGGCAGAGCAAGTGGGATACACACACACAAAACAAACTACACGTTATTAAGCCACACCTTGGTCATTGGCTGCCCGTATCGAAATCGCGTCATACAGATATAATACTAACGAGACTCAGGATAGGACACACATATGCGACACACACTTATCTTTTGTCTGGTGATGGTCCACCATTGTGTGACAGATGTGGTGAAGCATTAACAGTCCTTCACATGTTAATCTAGTGCAAACACTTAGAAACTCTAAGAAAACAACATTTTCCATTACCCTATCGTAGCATATACCTTTACACCCTGCAATGTTCGTCGGTAGGGAACCGCCTTTTAGTCATAAATCATTGTTAGCGTTTTTAAAAGAAATTCATAGTTTTCATATCATATATCCAGGCATTCCGTAGCACGACCTCTCCAGAGAGGTTTTTGCTGCGGTGGCTGCACAAGAAAGCATTTTTGCCTCACGGCCCTTGGACGCAAGGGTATGAACGAGTGAGGCACTTGTGCTAATGCCATACATATCCACCATCGTCTTTTATTATCACCAACTTTTGTCATCTATTCACACCACACACACCTTTCACGGCATGGTCATGATTTTATTACTTGTATGTTCTTACCCGCCTTACCGCGAGGAATTTTATGGCCCTTATACAGCCGCTTATCACAATCATTGTCCATATTTTTAGTAAGATGAACTGGCGCTCTTTGGCCGTGAAATGGCCCTTGCGCCACAAAACATCAAACATCATCATCATTCATCTGTAGCTTTCATCATCTCAAGATGCACTTGGAAAAGCGCAGCTGCTGTGCTAGTGCTTACAGACCTGTTTCCCGCCACCGGTCTCCTTGACCGTGAAGTACATCCACACTTCTTGAATTAGCCCAAGCCACGGAGCAAGAATTTTCGAGCAGGCGAAACTGCGCTCGCTCAAGCGCCCTGAAAAAGTCACGAAATAGGGCACAGCACTATGAGCCTCTGTCCTGAAACTCCGCTAACGCACGCCGCTCTCATCGCACTCTCATCGCACTCTCATTCAAGGCCACTGAGCTCCGATTTGCCGTTCGTGCTTCACGTCCGACTGGGTGTTCTATCCGGCTCCAAATTTTAACGCGACAACATAAAAGCTCGTTTCTCAGGAAGGCTGACATCAGCGTCGTTAGTAGGGAAGGGAAAATCGGCGTTCTCCATGACTGTGAAATTAAGAAAGATGCAAATGTTTGCGGTTCTAGGCATGTTTTAGGTAGGAATCGCATCCACACATTCTTCATTGCACGCAGCTGTTCGACTTCAGAGCTACAACACTGCTGGAAGCTACTTTGAAAAAAAGAACCATGAATGTCATGCAGTGTCATGTAAAGTGGCTGGGCAGAGTCGCCATCCGAGAAGTGCTTTCCACAAACGTAGTCACGAGGCTTCAGCTGGCTTCAGCTTCCAATTTCACGAGGCTTCAGCTTCCACGAGGCAGTCACGAGGCTTCAGCTTCCAATTTCATTGGGTCACTAACTACATTCTCCTTGCAGGATGTGTAATTGCTGTTGCATTTTGGCAGACCATGTTTCCGCCTCATCCTGAAGAAGCATCTTGCTCGAATTCTGCAAAGCGTTCTCCCTTGTCGCGACGTGAAAAGGGCGCGCAATCAGTCGGCACAGCTGGCACAACGCACTGAATGTACCGAGAGCACCACAGAGGAAGGGAGAGCATTAATGAAACAGAAAGCCTGCATATTGCGAAGGGATTTGCGGCCGCCTGTGGGGAACTTTTTCTCCCGATGTAACCGCGCATGCGCACCCCGACATGCGAGCGAGGAGCAAGAAACTGCGTACGTTGTCTACTCCTGAGCCATTACTACAGCTCGTTTTGATGGCTTTGCGGCTCGTAATTCTAGCAGTATCTATCAATTAGTAACTGATGCTGAAATATCTGTTGCATCTAGTCATTCATGTTACACACAAAAATGGGGAAAGTTTTGCTGTGCATGAGGCCCTATTATGATTTTTATGTGTAGCGTTCATAGAAGCGCGTGTAAAAGATGGGAACACGTCAAAAGCGTCACCTGCTGAGCGTTGCCGCAAACCACATCCCTCCGTGATGCTGTCGCGTTGCCCTCGCCCGCTGGCACGTCCTGGGAGTTTCTCCTCCTCAAATACTTCTTTCTGTGTGGTCGAAAGCATTGTAAAAGCTGCTTGCACACTGCTTTTTAAGCAGACTTCCCCCACAGGTAGCAGCAATGTATGAGGGAAAGTCAAAACTGAACAATAATGGGTACCAAAACATTCGGAATCTGCCCCCCCCCCCCCCCCCCGCAACATGACCACATCAGATCACACCCGATCAATGAAGCTACGCAACTGTAGACTCAGCTAAGCTGATGCTGGAGGAGCCGACTTCATGTGATGTCGATGATCTAGTAGCGATCTGCAATCTAGTAACGATGTGCCTTATGAATTAAAATACGAGCATTATAGAATTCCACTTGTCCGAACCGCGTGTTGAACGCAAGCGCTTACATATTTAATTCCCAGTCTTCTCAATAAACATTCACATGGTATAGAAATCGCTCAGAAATTTTTGTCTCTGAGATCTTTCGAAAAATATATCAAAGCTTACCTTCTATCCTGTCCTCAAGATTGATGCCATAATTACTCGAATCTAACGCTCACCTTTTTTTCGGTTAAGCGAGTTCATAAATCACATGCGCGTTAGAATCGAGTACGGAAAAAAAATGATACGTTCATTCCATTGCCACCGGCATTTCCAAATGGCCGCCTGCTACGTGCGTCCGCATAGCGCCGTCGGCAATTTTTGCCTATGTGTTTCCTATGTGCGGCACTTCGTACTGTGCTGCTGCCACGGAGTTCCACGCTTCATCGTGTAGTGCCTAAGTTCTTAGCGATCGACCTGCGTGGAAGGGCCGGCTCCAACAACTCGGCGTTGCACACGATGCCGCTTTTAAAGGTCAATCTCACTTGTGCAGGAACGGACGAATACATCGGGCTGCTTGGCGGTCGTACGGAGTTCCCGAAACCCGTGCGTGCAGGATGGCGGAAACAAAAGCAGGAAGCTTGTCGACAGCAAAGCTTCATGCAACGGCTTCAGTGGACCACAGCAGGGTCGGTTTCCGCAAATTGAAGAGCTGCTCGGCGAGTATGTGCTTGAGCAGTGAGCGGCGCAGCGGCCCGTGACAACAGAACTGCTCCAAGTGCGAACTATGTAATTAGCCTTATAAAAAGGTCTAACGCGGAGCCAGTTCAAAGCGAGAAGGTGCTGGCTAACTAACTTTATGAAGAGGAAAAGCTTTTCCCACCGAAGGTGAACGGGCATATGCAAAAAGTTTTGCGGAGGAGTACGATGGAAAGCTTCACAGTTTTCAGAGGTTCGTCCTAAATTTGCGGCACAACAACGGCTACCTGCTTGGCAAATCGGGAATGCCGGTCAGACGCCTCTTTACTTCGACATGCCTGGCACCACAACTGTCGAGAAGAAGGGGGCGAAGAAAGTTCGCGTGCTGACATTGGTCCACGGTGAAACTACAGTGACGGCAATGCTCTGTTACACACCAGATGGGCAGAAGCTTCCCCCGTACCTCATATTAAAATGGAAGACGCTCCTGAAAGTAGTAGTTTTTTCGAGTAGTGTGATCGTGCAAGCCAACGAGAAAAATGGGTGCGCGTTGCAATCGATGTCTTACTTTTTCTTTTTCGTCGTGTAAACCGGGTGTGCGTTACAATTGAGGGCGCGGTAGAATTGAGTAAATATGGTAAATTGTGTATATAGCAGTCATATGTTTCTCTAGTTTCGTTATTTGTAGTGTTACGACTCTTGATTCATTGATTGATGATTGATTGAATTGATTGATTGATTGATGAGTGATCCACCGTCATTTGGTGTTTTGGTATGATGTGCGATGTTTTGGTTTCACTTTCAATGTCTAAGCTTTATTTCTGTGCCTTTTCGCCCTTGGAAATTTTGCCCAATATTTTCAACTGCGCCGAAATAAAATGAAAAAAAGTTTTTGCGTAATTTTTCTTCTATTTTTTCGCACTTCGCATCTATAGTCGTCTGGTGCATGGTTGTTTTGCACCGGCACGCTTGTGCCAAGCTGGCCCTGTAGGAAGAGAGCGCGTGGAAAATTTTTGAACCGTCCTGTTATGTGTGAAACCGCTGGCATTGGTGGTCCACCGCGTTGGTGCAGTGGTTACAGTTCTTGGCTGCAGACATGAAAGTTGCGGGCCCAGTCCTGGCTAAGGTGGCTGCATTTTGGTGGTGGAAACTTGCTGTTGGCGGCCCGTGTTCCGTGTTATGTGAATGTGAGTTGGAGAGCACCAGGTGGTTGACATAGACCTTTTGCACAGAGTGCCCACTTGGTACTTTTTTAGTGTGCACCTTGTGTTGAATAGGGCGTTCTTGCGTATGTCACGCTCTTATGGACCTCATGTACACCGTGGTAAAACCTTGTTAAAAGATCTTTCCATTCCTGAACGTCGTGGGGTCTCTGACCGACGCTTCGCGATTCCCATAAAAAGGCTGAGTGACTGGGACCGCTGACTTCCCCCTTGCTGAACCAGAATGACCGTTTCTAGGCTAGGCGGCGCAGCTAAAATTGCCGGAGCTAGAGAGGTCTGTGCGGGGGAACTAAATTGCCAAAGTCCGAGACCTTTCGACAGCGAACACAGATGCTCTGCTCTCTGAAGTAGTTGTAAATAGAGTAAATAAACGTCATGTTTGTGGCATATAAGCCCATCGTAAGCGAGTTATTATAATCGATCTTTTTTTCTATAACAAACTTGCTAATGTTGGATTGAACGGCTCATATCAGCTTGTGTTGGTGAACTGGTGGTTGATGTCGGCTTGTGTTACCGCATGTTGCTCTATACCTATATATTTCTTTCTTTTAGGGAACTGTGCTTCGTCGTGTTGCCAGGATGATGGCCGAAGAGCTTCACGTGCTGCAGCATCAGGAGCGATTGGCCAAGGGCTCGGTTCGTGATGTGGCTACGCAGACAACAGAACGCGGCATGCGTTCCGTTCCATGACGAGACTCTATACACGAGGAGTAAGAAGACATAAAGAAACAACGAAGAGAAATAACGGCGCTCTTATCGAGTGCCCGACTAGCCTCGACGACCTTGACGTCGTCACATCGTGCCTTGGGAAAACAGGGGTTGGGGGTGGAATGAATTGTGTGTAGTTGCCACGGTTTAGTTGTGCCTTGCATTTTTTTTAGGGAGGGGGGGGAATGTCACATCGTAACGGGAGGGAATCTGGTTCCACAACCCTGCTTGCTTGTTGTCCTTGTTGTTATTTTTATTTGTTTTCTTTTTCGCTGTTATATTCGTTCTGTTTATAATCATTGTTATATTATTTCATTTCTTTCATTTCATTCCAGTGGTGCACGCTTTTTTTTGTACTGGCAGTTCTACAGCTCTGTCACCAATATATATTTTTATTGGCATGTGGGTGCTTTTAGCATCAATGTCGGTACATGAACGTTGTCTATGATGTCAGCGTAGCGCTGTAACTGAAACGGCACTGTCTAACTTCTTTACGAGCAGGAAAATCGGTAGTTAAATGTTCAGTCTTGGGAGTGGTAGCGCTGAAGTGACGAATAACTAAACAAAGATGCAAAGCATACCTGATTCACATCGTCTCTCCATCATTTCGTGCCAGTTTAGCTCCACCTCCCAGACCGTAAACTTTGCCCACATTTGTTCTTGCAAAGCATTGCTTTATCAGACTGTGAAAATCAATCTCTGCATTGAGTGTGATCTGGCATTGTTTGACATTTGTGCCCACGATTGCGCGTGTTTACAATTTGAGATAACACTGCCCACGCCTTTCCTGACTGGCACGTGAGCCGAGAGTCAAGCTAGCGGACTGTTCTTCGGTGAGTTGTAGAAAGCTCAGCTCAATATTAATAAGCATTTATCACTCCATAATCGTTGTTGGAGAAGTAGCTAGTGATTTGTTTATGCAATGGGGAACATTGATTGGCTCATTATATGCGTGCCATGTTAGTACAAAATGAGTGTGAATAGGTGTCAGTTTTGCTACTGAACACAAAGCCACGATTAATGAGCTAAATTATGGCAAGTACATTGTGGAGGAAATTATGTCAACATGCGCACTGCTTGAAATATTCATTGCCCATGTTTTTAAAGTTTGACAAGAGTTCTTATTAAGTGAACGGAAGTAAATTGGTGCTAACCCACATAAGTGCATTTGGAATCCGAACAAAGAGCATTTAGTCGAAATTCCATATGCTTTGGCATTTTTAAATAAATGGCTTTATTGGTTAACAGGAATCAACACTGTGCGGAATTGTACGCCGAGCAGGCACGAGTATATATTTCAACATTCTGGCAGACCTCAGTGCCAAAAATTAGTTAAAGAGGAGAGATAAAATAGATGAAGTTCATAAGCATACTCAGTGGCAAGCAGGCGAAAAATTTTTTTTCAGGTTCACCTCATTATTGTTTAATGTACAGTTTGGGATATGAAAAGATTGCTGCAGTTTACCTGAAAGCTAGTGCTTTTAGCACACAGGCCCACATTGACAATGGTCTTTATCTGTGATGTAATTTCAGACGAAACTGGTATTATTATGCATAAACGTATCTTATATGAATTGACACTGTGCGATATGTAACTGAACATGTAGTACCCATAATCAGTGTTAACACTACTAACAAATCAGTTATAAAGCAACTAAAAGTTAGACTGCAAACTGTGTTGGAAAACATGTATGTTTCTAAGGTTTCTGTGTTCACTGGCTTCTCTGCTACACATGTTTTCCAGCACTGTTGGCAGTCTATGTGAAATGAAGCCACTTGGTAATGCTTTTCGATGAAATTGATTGACAGGTTCTGTTTGTAGTGACGTCCCGCTTCGCCGAATTGTAGCGAGCAGGTTAGCTTGGTGCCATGTGCGCAATGGTGGCAAATAAACCACTTGTGCAATTAGTACTTATATTGATCCACGCATGACGCTCAAGAATGCGCGAGTCTTGTAGGGATTCTTTGTTATGCCTGTTCTTCGGCACAGTTTGCAAGCTTGGCTAACAGGTAAAGTTAGGAGCGTGTCTTGACGGAAGTGTTAGACACTGCCCACTGTGCTTCTTTGGTTGTGAAGTGGTTATACACTACGTATTTTTCAATGCTCACGTTGCAACCTGACATACTTTACCATGAATGAATTTACGTCCATTGACGCAGAAGCAGGTGGGTGTGGAACCTCGTCCCATCTTGTTAGTTTTTTTTCCCCTTCTGTTGGTACTCAGGTTATTCGTTATAGCGGCCTCGCTGGCGACTGTTCATTCCTTTGGTTCGCTTGTTAAAACACACTCCATGGCTATCCTCCTCTGCGTGTGCCAAGTTGTGAATCGAAGGGACGAGGAGGCAAGACTGATATTTTGCAGGCCGGAGCATTCGAGTATTCGACCCCCTACATACAACGCTGAGATGGCTATTGTTGCATTTTTTTCTACAATGGGTCTTGTTACAGGCTCACGACGTATATGGATTTTCTTTCCTTTACATTACTTTCAGATCTGTACAGATTTCTAGAATGTGCAGTTCTTTTTCTCTCAGAAGCTTTTTTCGCTCCTTTTCTTACAAAATGAATTTTCAAAGTGCTCAAGATTGTAAGGTTCCAACAATGTGCATGTCTCTTTTTATCTATTGACTTATGTTGTCTCTTACTTTGTGACATAAGGTGTAAAAATAAAGATGAACCTTTCACATGTTCCATATTTTTCAATAGAGTTGTTGCCATAGGTGCTTGTCTGGTAAATACAACCAAGTGTGTTTTGTTTAACACAAGCAAATGAATTGAACACTTATGCCAGGGAAAGCAAAGATAACGTTGACTGTTGTCTTTAATCGTAGAGATGCAAGTTTAAGTGAATCAAAGGGGACAAAAGTCACTCTTTAGGCCAGTTTATTATGAGCTGACCACCTTCAAGGTTTCCTTCCGATTCTCTACCAACAGATTTTTTCATAATCTGCAGCTACACTTCCTTGTGCTACATATTTGCCCAACTAATGGCGGCACCCCTCGTTCTTCAGCATCATTTCCTAGTTGCACATGCTGTGGCTTGTATATCATGCGTGTTTGTATCAAAGATGCTCGTTAAATTTCCCCACACCATAGGGCAAGTAAGTTGCGCTTGAACATAGCGTTTGCTGAATGTGACTAGCCACAATTAGTATGGCAAATTGCATTGCAGAAAAGCTGGTTTTACAGTTTTAAAAAGGCTCTAATGAGCTAAGACAAAGGTGCCTCCCATCCACTTCGTTGGATGTTTCAGTGCATGTCTCTCTAAAATGTTAGCTGATGTAAACGAGTCCCTCAGTGAAAATTCTCCTTGTTTCATACTGAGACTGGCACCTATAAAACAAGTGGGCCAGCCTGTGCTTCTCATGCTTGCATGGACTTGATTGGCTTGCTTTGATTGCTTTATTAGTAAGCAACAACATTCCCAGTTTCACTACATAGCATTAGTGACGCGGCTTGGTATTCGAACATATGTGGTCCAGTGTCATGTTGTGCTCTGTATGCTATAGAAAAAAGGAAATGGTGGGGGGCGGGGGGCCGATGTGCCATCCCTGGCAGTGCCACTGCATGTGAATAAGCACAGCAAAGGCTGCATTTGCAATCCTTTATTCCTTCATATGTTCTCTCTCTCTTCTCCCGCCTCCTGACATGGATATATTATCTCACTCAGGTGTATAAAATGCAAATTATTTCCGCAATAGCACAAGGGCACAGTAAGTGCCGCTGCTTTGCCGTCGTGGCAGTGTGAACAAGAGGGCCTATCCCAGTGTCACAAAACGAGCGCTCAAAAAAGGGCGCGCCACCAAATTCTCGCGACGAAACGCCGGAGTGACGCCGCGAGGTCAACGAGAAAAAAAAGAAAGAAGACAGAAGAAAGAAAACAAGCATCCAAAGACTCCCCGGCCACGCGTCCTTCTCCCCTCGGAAGCGTGGGCTCGCCGACGAACCTCCTTTCATCGGCGCCCGAGCAAGCCCTCGAATGTTCTAGATAGAAAGTGGCGGGGTGATGCTGGGTTGCGTCATCCGTCGCGGACGGCCTTCGAACCGTCTCGCCCTCTCCCCAACCTTCGCTGCGTATCGCGCCGACGAAATGACGAGAACTTTCTGGAATCACGCGCGGAAGGTATTTAATGGAGCAGCTGAGGTGAGAGGTGAGGAGAAGACGGAAGTTAGCGCCAGAGCGCGTAGGAATTCCGCCGTGTAATCGGCGAAGGTTTTGTCCGTAGCGACAAAGCAGGAGAAGAAGAGGATTTCCACCTGAGGGGTGAAGGCTCGAGCTACAAGCGAGAGCGTGTGTCTACCGCTATCGAGCGAAGACGTGTGGCAACAGCTGCGGGTGTGCAGCGGACGTGTTTCCGGCGAAGAAGTTTGAAGCTTGGAGAGGGGCCAAGTGAAGACGTGAGGTTTCCTGGAAGAGAAACTTCGGGGGCAGCGGAACGACAACAACGCTGGACTTTGAGTGAGTGATTCTCGGAAGAGTACCATCCAGACTTTTGTTCCAAGAACTTTGAACTGAATAGGTTTTCTATCTCTTTAGTCTTTAGGTATCTTGGTAGTTCAATGCATGCAACTGCATTGTAGTGCATATTGTTGTCTGAGTCCGTTGTTTCGAGTGTGGCTGATTGTACTGTGTAGTACGTTGTTTGATTGGTGACATATTGTACTCGACTATTGTGGAGTGTGCATACTTGTGTATTGTTTTTGATCTGCCATTAGTGAGAATATAATTTTGTTTTGGTTATCAACTCTCGGCTCTGACTTGTTCTTTGGGCCACAACCGGCGTCTGCTGGCACGCCAAAAAGAACCACTTCTAAATTGTCCACGCCTTCGTGGTGCGGTTCGGGGGGCCGATACTTCGGCTCTTGGAATTAGCCCGGCGATCGCCTCCCGAATTAACGGGACCCGTGACAATTAATCTGGCGTCTGCGACAGGACCTTCTGGTGCACAGTGTGTCTAAAGTAGTGAGAAAGAACCTCGAGTTGTTGATAGTGCTATCGTAATGATTTTGTGTGTTGCTCAGTGTTCTCGTTAACGAGTGCAGGAGAGTGTTCCGATATACTGATTCAGGCAGATATTTTTTGCACACG